GGTAAGGCGTCGGGTAGGGTGTCGGACTCGGCGTCGGGTTCGGCGTCGGGTTCGGCGTCGGGTTCGGCGTCGGGTTCGGCGTCGGGTTCGGCGTCGGATTCGGCGTCGGGTTCGGTGTCGGGTTCGGTGTCGGGTTCGGCGTCGGGCTCGGCGTCGGGTAGGGCGTCGGGTACGGCGTCGGGTAGGGCGTCGGGTAGGGCGTCGGGGACGTAAGGGCGCCCCAAAATGTACCGCTCGCCCCACTCAATGAAGTTGATGCGACTATCGCCGAAAAAGTAGAACGCCCGTGTTGATTTGCCAGGCGGTGAAAATGACCCCCAGGCATTGCCCTCTGCCCAGCCCCCGGTGTTGCACGAACTGTGCACGTCGGCCTCCCTCTTCAGCCCGAAATGCGTCGAGCCGTAGCAGCCGCCGCGTCCACCGTGCCAGTAGTAGTTACTTCCGAGGCTGTTGCCTTCGCAATTGCAGGTCGTGCACGTGCCGTCGAAGCCCGAGGTGCTCAGGGTCCAATAGTGTTCGACGGAATATCCAGACGCGGTAGTCACGCGCATACCAGTCATGCCGATACTCTGTAGCTGCGACCCAGTGAATCCGAGGCGATAGTCTGACCAGGTGTAGCTCTTCTCGCTTCCGTACGTGGAGCCGCTGGAGAAATCCCCAAGGTTGGGGCTGCCCAAGTTCGAGCTGAGCAGCAGCGTCCAGGTGGTGCTGGACTCCGAGGACGTGTTGGTGCGTTCCTGCACGTGGAGTGCAGCTGCGGTGGGTATGATGTGGCCGACCAGCACAGCCAGCCACGTGGCCGGGTTCGCCATGCAGCCTGCCATCTCGCACAGCGGGGCGGTGCTGCGCTAGCAGAGGCCTCCTAGATGGGGTCAGAGTAGATGGGGTCGGAGGACCGCGCCTCATCGCCGATACATCGGCGATGCATCGGCGATTCACCGGCGATGAGCCGTCGACGTCGGCGATGTATCGGCGACGTCGGCGTGGAGAAACTCGGGCTCCGCATCGAGCCGCATCGCCGATGCATCGGCGAAGCGGCGCGATCCTCATCTAGGACGACCCCATCTAGGAGGCCTGGAGATAGCGAATCGCGCCGGTCGGGCCCGAAAATCGGGGATGGACAGACCCCCCTTTAGTAAAACGTGGTTTGGTGAAACCGACCTCGGGCCCAAACCTGGCGGGCGCAAGCCTGGAAAATAACGGCCACGGCGCCCCCTCGAGAACCGAAAACGGACAACTCACTAATCGACGTGTCACTGTTGGGGGTTCTGCCCACCTCCGAGAAAAGGAAGAGGATGTACCTACGCAGCCTGAACTACCGAGGAGCCAGAGCGACTGCAGCAGCACGCGAGGGGGCCTTCAAAGGGAGGGCGGGCTCGGCGGCCCGTGTCGAGTGCGCCTCGGGGGGCCCGTGGCTCCGGCCTACCTACGGCCGTGGACCTGTGGCCCCCCCTGGGGTCGCTCCGTACGGACCATGACCTGTGTTTTCCTTTTGTTTCGTGCGTGGTTTTTCGCCAAATATCACAAGTTATTAGTGCGATGGTTCCTCGACGAAGGAAACATGCAACACGGAAAATCCGAGCGATGCCCCAAGCCACCCCCCAAAGAGCTGGCCCCCGGAGACGCCAGCGAGGTCGCCCGGCCATCCCCAGGGAGGCCTCCGATGGCTCCCCCCCTAAGAAGACCCCCTACCAACAATGGCCAAGCACGACGCGCCGAGCCAGCTCGAGCCCCGAGGGCCCAGGGAAGGGCCCCCGAGGCCCCCTCGCGGGCTCCAGGAGCCCCCGAGCTCGCTTCCCGAGGCTTTTTCTCCGAGGCGGTGGGCCCCGCGCCCCTCGACGAGACGCGTCGGCGGCGAGCGAGGGGGGGGGGGATGTCTGAGCAGGACGGGGCCCTCTCAGCAGGAGTGCTTGAAGGGGCCCTGGGACACACAAACGAATACACACACACAAATAAAACGAATCCCCACATTTTCCTATATTTTCTGGGCTTTTCTTTTCCCCAGCACTTCCCATAGTTTTGCACATCTTCCTGGGAGTCGACGATTCATTGTGTCTGTGTGCTTCTTTCCCTCCTGATCTTCCGGGCAGGCGCCGAAGCCTTCTGCAGAAGGCCAGGGGGCCTCCTCCGAGCCTCTCGCGAGAGGAGGCCCGCCCCTCCTCGAGGAGGCCCCCCGGGGGCCCGCCGCCGAGCACGAGCGCCCGAGGGCCTCGGAGGGGCCACCGGGCGCCCCAAAGACAGCGCCGGGAGGGCCCCGAGAGAGGGGACACGAGAGGGCCGAGGACCGCCCCGAGAGGGGAGCCCCCCGACGAGTGTCGCCGGAGCCTCCGGGAGTCCCCCCCCCCCAGGATGGCACCAGTGTCCCCCCGGGACTCCACAGGCGGGCGGACTCATTCTACGGTCCCCGTGGCGCCCCACAGGGCTCCACGGGACCCACGAGGGCCTCACAAGGAACCGAAGAGGACACGAGAGAGAGAGAGAGAGTCCGAAGCGGGCCCCCAGGCAGCCCAGACCAGCCAAGGTCAAGCAGGCGTTCCATCGAGTTGGGTGAGCACTCCCTCCCCGATGTGGTCTTGCTCCTGACGGGCCGCGGAGTATTCACAGAACGCCCGACCTGTGCGCCGATGTGCGAAGAGGAGAAGAAGGCAGGAGGACGAAGAGGAGGGCGGGCCGACTAGTGGCCACCCTGGGGTGCCCTCAGGGGCCGCCTCTTGAAGAAATAAATAAAAAAAAAAAAAAAAAAAAAAATAAAAAAATGAAATGGAATAAGCAAACACAGAAAAAAAATAAAAATATAGGGGGGGGGGGGGGGAATAAATAATAAAAAAAAACATAAAAAAAAATAATAAGCTCGTCTGAACAGTTCACGCCTCCCCGCACTCCCCCAACAGCCTACTCGGACTGCCTGCCCGACGCCTTACCCGAAGCTATCTTTCCCCCAGCGCCCCAACCGACGCCCTATCCGCGCCTTCCGACGCACTATCCGACGCCTTCTCCGACGCTCTACCCGTTGGCCTTCTCCCGCCCTCGTCTTCGCATGTGCTCGCACCCGTTCCTCCTGCTCCTCCTCCTCATCATCATCATCAGTATCATCCTCCTCCTCCTCATCAGCATCATCATCATCATCGTCATCATCAGCATCATCATCAGAATCGTCATCATCATCATAACCATCAACATTTTCATCACCACAAGCATCATCATCAACATCATCAACATCATAATCATCATAATCATCATCATCAGCAGTACCGTTAGCATCACCATCGTCAGCGTTATATTGACCATCATCATGACCATCATCATCATCAGCATTATCAACATCATCATCATCATCATCATCATCATCATCATCATCATCATCCTGCTCCTGCTCCTGCTCCTGCTCCTGCTCCTCATCCTCCTCGTCTCATCACTCATCTCTCAACCTCGTCATGTCCTTGTCCTCCTCATCATAGTTCCTCTTCTCCCGTGTTCCCCTTCTTCCTCTTTCTCGCATGCCTGTTTCTGCATGGCTCTCTCTCTCTCTCTATCTCTCCCTCTCCGGTCTGATTGTTAGCCTTTGTAGTAATGTGATTCGTGCTATTACTCGCTTACGTATGGTGTGTTTCTTCGTAAGCGTAGTATTCGTATTCGTTTTAGTCGTCATCTGCGCATTCCCATTTCGTAGTATTAGCATTCGGGCTAATACTGCTCGTGATAATAACAGCACTACTGGCATTAATGTTGTTAATTTTACTGGGGCTATTCAGTATTGTCTATTTATGCTTCTGTTTAGTGATGTAAGTACATATATCATGATGTGTTCCATATACGTATCCGTATTGTTCCCCGTATTATTAATAGTAGTCGTCGCCTCTTGTGTTGTCGTCTTGTTATCATTCGTGCGTGTGTACTACTACGCTTCGTGTTCTTATCAATCCTCCTGTCCTCCCAGCCCACGCCCCCTAGGCCACCGCAACCCTGAAGAGGAGGGAGGCGGTAGGATAACACACTTCCGACGGGATCGGAGGAGCGCTGGGGGAGCAGGAAGGCAAAGGGGAGGGAGAAGGGAGAAGAGAGAACACATGATTTAGGTGAAGGATGAATGGGACGGGAAGAATACAAAGGAGCGAAACCGAAAGGAAAAGGTACGGAGGGAGGGGGAAGGAACGACGAAGGTGGAAAGAAGAGAAGGAGGATGAGAAAAGGGAGGATAGACACATAGGAAGAGGCGGCAGAAGAACAACAACTCCCTCGCACGAGCCTCGCCGCGAAACCTTGCGAGAACTACACGCAATCCCCCGGCGTCCGCCAATGATGACGGCGACGACGGAGACGACGGCGACCACCACCACCGCCAAGACGACCAGACCGACGACGTTGGACAGCCACGGCGACGACAACGACAATGACGACGGCGACGACGACGCCAACGATGCAGCGACGTTTGACGACGAATTTAAGCACGGCGACGACGAACACCACCACATCATTTTTCCTCTTCCCCACTCGTCAGCTTCCTCCGCTTGTTCTACCCAACACCCCCGAAGTGATCTAGAGACCTCAATGGCCCACAAGTCTCCCGAAATCCAATGAAGTCCCCGGAAAAACCGAAACCCCCGCGGATGCGAAAACTCGAACCTCATCCCTTTCGACGACGATCGACGACGCCGACGACAACGATGATGAAGTTGGACGACAACGGCACCATCATATGGCATGGCATGCCATTATGTTGTACTGCAACAGCACCGCAAAAGAGAATACTCCCCTCTCTCCCCCGCCCTCCTCCTCCTGCTCCTCCTCCTCCTCCTCATCCTCTTCCGCCACCCTCCCTCCTCATCCATGTCATTTTCCTCTTCGCAGCCAGCTCACAACCCAGTCAAGGATCGACTTGTGAGTAAAGTGTGACCGCTGGGGGAATTACGAAACAGAATCCCCTCGCCGCTGTCTCGAAAGGATCTGCTCGCCCCATCACGCCCGCAGCCCTGCGCGGCCGCGCGCGAACCGGCAGCGGCCTTGATGATGTCGGCGCCGCTGAAGAGGAGCTCCTCGCGGGATCGGGGAGAGGGTGGGCGGCGATGGGGCCCGCGTCGTCGGCAAGAGGGAGTGCATCTGGACGGGGCCAGACGTGGCAGGATCAGTCAGCGTCGAATAGGGAGGTCGGATCAAATCGGAATGTGCGTGGTGTCGGGCTGCATCGGCACGGGGTCGAACTCGAGTCGGACTGGGTGCACAACAAGCATCGGGCAGTATCCGATCGTCGAAAAGTCGGGATCGAATCGGATCGGGCTGGTCAGGATCGAAAGCGAATCGGATGAATCGTATGGTTGATGGGGTCGATGCATCGCCGATGCACTGGCGACGCTGGGATAGAGAGAAAAGAAGACTCTGGGCCGCACCGCAGTTCCGATGCATCGCCGATGCGGCGCGCCTCCGACCCCATCTACTCTGGCCCCGCTGCAAAGGCCTGGACATACATCTAGGCCTCAGAGTTGGGGTCCGAGTCTATGGGGTCGAAGGATCGCGCCGCATCGCCGATGCATCGCCGATGGTTCTCGATGCGGAGCCCGATTTTCTCCACGCCGACGTCGCCGATGCATCGGCGACGTCGCCAGTGCATCGCCGAGTCATCGGCGATGTATCGCTGACGCATCGGCGATTGGGCGCGATCCTCCGACCTCATCTACTCGGACCCCATCTAGGAGGCCTCTACAATGAAGAAAAGCGAGCAGAGCCCTGAGGAAAGCGGGCCATGGACCCCGTGGCTCTCCCCAAGATTGTCTCTTCGTCCTCGGCAATGCTTCTGTCGGGGGCGCGCAAACATGGACTACCGATCCATGGATTTGGCGCGCGGTCGCCAACTCCATGGATCGGAGAAGGTGCCCTCCCCAAAATGCGGCTGGTGCCGCCTCGCTCGGCGGCGGAAATCCGCGATTCCCTACGGAAACGGGCCCCGTCGCTAGTCCACGCCCCCGTGATCCATGTTTGCGATCGCCTGATTCTGGACGGTCCAGGGCCAAACAGGACCCCAAGAGGAAGGACGAGGAGGAGGTAGAGGAGGAGGAGGAGGAGGAGGAGGAGGAGGAGGAGGAGGCTGAGAAAGGAGGAGGGGAGTAGGAGGAGGAGGAGGAGGAGGGAGGAGGAGGAGAAGGAGGGGAGGGAGGAGGAAGGAGGAGAGGAGGAGGAGGAGGAGGAGAGGATGATGGAGGAGGGGAGGAGGAGGAGGGAGGAGGAGAGGGAGGAAGGAGGAGAGAAGAGGAGGGGAGAGGAGAGATGGAGGAGTGATGGAGGGAGGAGGAGTGAAGGAGGGAGGGGAGGGAGGAGAGAGTTCCCTCCTTCTGCCAAGAAAGCCCCTAGGACCCCTGTGGGCCCTCAGGACACGATTCTCTGGGCGGGCCCTGGGCCTGGGGGAGGGCCTCCTCGAGAGGCCGAACAGGGCCGACACGCTCGGGAACTCCATTGCGCCTTCTCCTCCTCCTCCCCTTCCTCCCTCCTCCCTCCTCCTCCTCCTCCCCTGCCTCCTCCTCCACCCTCCTCCCTCCTCCTCCCTCCTCCTCCCTCCTCCTCCCTCCTCCTCCCTCCTCCTCCCTCCTCCTCCTCCTTCTCCTCCTCCTCCCTCATCCTCACCTCCTCCTCACCTCCCTCCTCCCTCTCCTCCCTCCTCCTCCCTCCTCCTCCCTACCGTCCTCCTCCTCCCTTTCCTCCTCCTCCCTCCTCCTCCTCCCTCCTCCTCCTCCGTCCCTCCTCCTCCTCCTCCTTCTCCTCTTCCTCCTCCTTCTCCTTCTCCTCGCTTCTCGGTGGCCCTCACGCCTTCGAAGCCGGCTTCGTAGACTTCGTGCCTGCGCAGAAATCGCCCAGCGATGCGTGCCTGGAAGGATGTGTATCAGGCTGCGCAGTTTTCTCCAGCACTTGGGAACCGCGCGCGGCCTTCGCGAATGTGCTCGACGCTAGGTGGAGAGCTCCGTTCTCACAAGGGTCCCCTCCATACTTGGAACGCCTGCTAGTTTCAAGCCTCATGGTCATAGATGGTGAGCAAATCTCGGGATGAACAACCGGTCCGCCCTACCGAATCCTACCGACAACCCTGATGGTGCGACACGGCGGAGTTCTCTCTGGTGAGGAGGGGCCGGGGATGCAAGCGGAGAACGTCGCCAACTCCAAGCGCTGAGCTGCCCGACGATGCTCGAGAGCGAATGGGTCGCAGCGCTTCGGGCACAGCCAGCGACCAGGCCATACCGCGGCCTGCGGTCCAATGGGATGGGATCAGCGCTAACCTCTGGCCTCCGAGCTGCGAGCACGGGTCCCCGAGGCCTCCCGCCGCTCAGGACTGCCATGAATGAAGGGGCCCCAGGACACACAATTCAATACACACAAATAAGGATTCCCATTATTTTCCTATATGTTCTGGGTTTTTGTCTTCCCCCCCACCTCCCATATTTTCCCATATCTTCTGGGGAATCGACGATGAACTGAGTCTGTGTTTTTTCCCTCCTGAATGCACCGAGAGAAGATAGCACTACAGGAACAGAACATTTCGGATGCCCGCGCGGATTTTCTGGGTCCCACTACCCATTCGGTGCACGGGTCCCTGAAACAATCAATCCACGCAATTGTTTGATGACCGCTCGGAGTTGTAGCGTGACGAGCCACATCCTCCCATAATGAACTATCTGCAATGCGCAGAGCTGCGTTGTCACCGCAGGAAGCGCTGCTACCCCACGATGAGTTTAGTATATGCGGCCCATGTGCCACGATAGCACTTGTCACCTTTGGGACGTGATGCAGTGCCAAGTGTGGAATGATAGGCAACATAAGCTACAACAATACTCGCAAGTGAGGAACCACACGACCTCTGGTGCATTCAGTGTCGGCATCGCAGAGGTCTGACATAGACCCACTACCAGGAGGCGACTGTCGTGCTCCTCGCCCAAGCCCTGAAGACGTCCAAACGCCACAGCGACACCTTTTGGTTACCCAGGAACTATACAAATCGAGTCGCACGATCTCCACACTCTGATCATGTCCGCCTGTGCACTGCCCCCTCCCCCTCACAAGCTGCACCCCACGAGATCCTCCGTCATCTCTTTCGTGACGACGTTGCCGGCCATGATGGTGATCTGCGAGCCGGCCGCGACGACTCTCTCGGTGGCGGGCACTGGAGGACTCCGACCCCTTCTGAGGGGCGCCCTGCAAACCTAGGCAGAACGCTCCCACTCGCCTCGCCAGAGGGGTAGGAGAACGGGGGGGAGAGATCGAAGGTACATGGACGGAATCCGCCTCGCCGCCTCGGCGGCAAAAAAGGAAACCACTCTCCCCGACGAGCGGGACTGGCGACGAGGAGCCCGAGGGTCACACCGACCGGGTGAGAACCCCAGCAGCGGCCCTCCCAGGAGAGGAGGGCCGTGGCCAGAACGGGGGGGGGAGGAGGAGGAGGAGGGAGGAGGAGGAGGAGGAGGAGGAGGAGGAGGAGGAGGAGGAGGAGGAGGAGGAGGAGGAGAGGAGGAGGGGGAGGGGAGGAGGAGGAGGAGGGAGGAGCGGAGGAGGAGGAGGAGGAGGAGGAGGAGGAGGAGAGGAGGGGAGAAAAGGGAGGAGGAGGAGGAGGAGGAGGAGGAGGAAAGGGAAGGCCGTGGCCAGAAGGAGGAGGAGGAACAGCAGCAGGAGGATCCCCCTTATAACATGCCAGAAGGGAGGGCGAGAGCGCGAGGGCAATGTGATGAGAGTGGCGACGACGACGACGACGGGAAGAGAGAGAGAGAGAGAGGAGGGGCAAGCTTTTCACATTGGCGAACTTAAGCCAGTGTGCTGTGGCGTTTGAAGGAACAAGCTCCTCCTCCTCCTCCTCCTCCTCCTCCTCCTCCTCCGCTTCCTCCTCCTCGTCTCCTCATCCTTCCTCAGTCTTCCTCCTCATCCCTACTACTACTGTTCATCCCACCTCCCTCCTCCTCCTCCTCCTCCTCATCCTGCTCTTCCTCTCTCATCTTCCTCACCCTCCTCATCGCCTCCTCCTCACTCCTCCTCAACCTCTTCTCTTCTCCTGCTCCTACTCGTCCCCCCTCCTCCCCCCACCTCTTTCGTTCTTCTCCTCTCTCCTCCTCCCTACCACCTCCTATCGACCCTCAAAGTTTGAAGATCGAGTTTTCTGAGTGCCTTCAGGCCCCCGTCACGCCACCAGAGACCCCCTGCGAAGGCCCTACGATGTCGTCCTGTTGGGCATTATCCTTTTCCTGACTGCTCCTCCTCCCCCTTCTTATGCTAACAGGCGGAGAACGATATAACGATATAACATAATGTGCTCCGTCAGCAAGGGCGCATGTCCCAGGGCGAGTGAAAAGTTGATACCCCTACGGTGGCACGTCAGGGTTTAAGCTTTCCAACCGCCCTGGGACAAGCGCCCCGGTGACGGGAAACATGATTATATACTCCTGGTTTCGTAATAAAAGGGAGGGGGTCTGAACCCTCCAAGACAAGCAATTTCAGACCCCCCCCCGTGGGAGAACCCTCCAAAACATCGTCCCCAGACCCCCCCAGGCCCTCCAAGATAGCTTGGAAGAGACCCCCCCCGAAATGAGACCCACCTCCCTTTATTATGAAATCTGGAGTACCGTTCTTCGCCTGCTAACCATAAACTCGGACGGGCCAGGACGAGGATACATCCATCCAGACCGTTCCAGAACGCTCTCAGAATGTTCCAGAACGCTCTGAGAAGGCCGCGGCGCCATGGACATCCTCCAGAGCCGCCGGATCTCAGGGATTCTCGGTTTACCCTCAACCGATGTCATGCTCGTCCTGGCTCAGTCCCACAAGCCCTCCTTCTTCGCGGCATCCCTCCTTCCTCCTCCTCCTCCTCCTCCTCCTCCTCCTCCTCCTCCTCCTCCTTCTCCCTCCCGCCATCCCTCCCTCCCTCCGCTCGCTTCCCTCCCTCCCTCCCTCCCTCCCTCCGCCCTCCCTGCATCCTCCCCCTCCGGGGGGACGTCAACAAAAGTGGGGGGCAGGGGCAGAGGCAGGGCAGGGAGAGAGAAGGACGTCGCTCGGAACGGCTCTCCCGTGAGCCGGACGTGCGGCGGGCCCCGAAGACGCTGCATCAGAGCACCCTGCCATCTCTCGGGCGCTGGGCGCGAGCTGATGTTTGAATGGGGCCCTGGGACACACACATAAATACACACAAATCAAATGATTCCCCGTATTTTCCAGTATTTTCTGGGTTCCTGTCTTCCCCTCCACTTCCCATATTTTCCCATATGTTCCTGGGGATCGACGATTAATTGTGTCTGTGTGTTTTCTCCCCTCCTGAATGTTGGCGGCGCACGCAGCGGGAGGCAGAGAGGAGGGAAGGCTTCACAGAGGGAGAGGCTGCTTCTGAGAGGGCGCCAGCCCCACGTCTGCGGAGAGCAGGCCGGCACCTTCTGGGAGGCAGGGGGTGCTTCCAAGAAGCCGTCCTCCCTCCCCCTACCCCCTTCTACGCGTGGCCGATCATGGGCGCGGGAGGCGATACAGTATTCGGCCTGACCTAAGGAACGAGAAATGAGGAACGAAGCCACTTGTTTTCCGAGCCTCCTCCTCTCCTCCTCCTCCTCCTCCTCCTCCTCCTCCTCCTCCTCCTCCTCCTCCTCCTCCTCCTCCTCCTCCTCCTCTCCTCCTCCTCCTCCTCCTCCTCCTCCTCCTCCTCCTCCTCCTCCTCCTCCTCCTCCTCCTCCTCCTCCTCCTCCTCCTCCTTCTCCTCTTGCTCCTCCTCCTCCTCCTCCTCCGCCTCCTCCTCCGCCTCCGCCTCCTCTTCCGAGATGGGAGCACAATATGTTAGGACGCAACTACTGGGTGGTCGTCGTCGGAAAGATGAAGGAGGATTGAGCCCCACTGGGGGGCTGTCTCGCCGGAGTGGGCTCGGATTGAACGGGATGAGGCCGGATGAAGCGGGACGAAGCGGGATTAAGCAGGATTATGCCAGATTAAGCCGGACTTCAGACCAGGGCAACATCAGAATTTGACCTCCCAGGAGTTGCATCCGAACATCTGTACCCGTATCGTCGGGGATCTTCTGACCCGGGCCAATCCAAACCCGGGTCCGTCAGGCCTTGCAGAACTCTGCAAGATCCTGCACCCGGACCCGGGTCAATGCGACTTATCCTGCAAGATCCGGCAGGATCCTGAGCCCAACCCCGGGTCAATGCGACCCTGGCCCTGCAGGATCCTGCAAAATCTGGCGCCCTGGCTGACCCCCGTTTGTACTGACCCCCGTCTCAAGACTCCCGATATCGACTGCGTCTTGAAGTTCCGGGCTGCGCTCCGCAGGACACAGGAGCGCAGCGGATATAAATGACACTCTTGCCCCGTAGAGGCTAGATGTTTGTCCACATCCACTGCGCCTCGGCCTTTTGGCGCCCATGCCCACAAAGTCCAAGACCCCGTGGCTATGGATGTAAATCTTGCCTGCGAGAAAGAAAAGGCCGAGCGCACCTGACATAACGCCAACGACCATTGGCCCGTCGAACGTCGCTGGCTGAGAAACAGCCCTTCGTAGGCCTAAGGATGGGGGCTCCCCCCAGCTACCCAAGTACTTCACGGAAAAACGGTAAAGCTTGAAGCACAAGTATCACAACTATACTGACCGTCGCAAGCAAAAATCACCCCCCCCCCGCTTCAGAAGCAGAGGCAACATCACCCAAGACGCCATATCCACTACAGCCTGTTTAGCGGAACGACCCTCCTCCATCTCCTCCTCCTCCTCCTCCTCCTCCTCCTCCTCCTCCTCCTCCTCCTCCTCCTCCCCATTCCTCCTCCTCCTCCTCGTCGTTTTCCTTTTCCTCCTCCCTCCCTCCGTCCTTCCCTCACTGCTTCGCCTCCTCGTCCTCATCCTCCCCATTCCTCCTCCTCCCCATTCCTCCTTCTCCTCCTCCTCCTCCTCCTTCCTCCTCCTCCTCTTCTTCCTCCTCCTCCTCCCTCCTCCTCCTCCTCCTCCTCCTCCTCCTCCTCCTCCTCTCATCCCTCTCCTCCTCCTCCTCCTCCATCCCCTCCTCTCTCCTCCTCCTCCTCCTCCTCCTCCTCCTCCTCCTCCTCCTCCTCCTCCTCCTCCTCCTCCCTGTCCTCCTCCTCCTCCTCCTCCTCCTCCTCCTTCCAACCCCCATACCCTCCCCTCCTCATCCCCTCCCCTGCTCCGCCCCCACTGGCCTCCGGCCAGCGTTTCCTGCACTCGCGGATGCATGCCACGAACGCCTCGGATCGGAGGCGCCCTCCCCCCCCAACAGTCCCCCCAGCGCGGAGAGGGCAACGGTTACGGGGTCGCCGAGGAACCAGTCACCGCCAAGGACCAATGACAAGGGTCGAAACTGCGACGAGCTCATCAAGGACCATATCATCGCCCTTGGCATGGGAGGGGTGCTTGAATTCACGAATTCGCTTTCAAGTTCGATCGAAGGAATGGGGACAGACAGGAAATAGAGGGAAAGAAGGAGGGAGGTGGAAACCCAGGTCAATCCTGGACGCTGCAATACACCCAGGTCAACACATCATGCAACTGTACGACCAAGTCAGGGCTCATATAATTCCATTCCGCACGTACTGGGATGACGAGCATAGTTGCTCCACGCTGCAAGGCGCTTCCCACCTCGACGGAGGCATCTGGAAGAGAAAACGAACCTCGTTCTTGCTTCCCTCCCTGCCTCATGCGATTGTTCCCCGCGCTGCAAACCCAAAGCGACAACATTTAGCGATGCGAGAAAGAAACTTCTGCGAGGCGGGGGTGCGTCCCTATCCTACGACTTGGACCCGATTTCCTGGCGCCCCAGCGGACGGTGGACATGGATACACGTAGGCCCCTGGGGGCCCGAATGTATCCAGATCCACCGCTTGTGGAAGTCCGGGAAGATTGCCCCCCGCACGGTGGTTATGGATAAATCTCCGCCTCGGACCGTCCTCGTCCTCGCCCTTTTGGGTACCTTCGGGGAGGCTCGCGTCGCAACGGTTGGACGCGCCTTGGGATCTGTGGATGGAGGTTGGCAACCGAAGAGTCACGCCTACCGTATTGTCCGTCAGCAGAAGAAAATTGGAAGAGAGAAGACAACTTGTTTTTCCCCACGCGCCGCGGGAGCAGCGGCGCGAGTCTTGTCCAGTACCTGAGCCTAAACAGCAGCAGGATTGATGGATAGAAAGGTGATATGAGCGAAGTGACACCAACACGCCCCGTCCCCAATCCCGCCCGCTCTACGCGGGCCTCGTGCCCGCGGGAGATAGGAGGCGGGACTCGGGAACAGAGGTATGAAGTCCACTCGGCGCACCCTTCTCGGGTCGGGCGAAAGGGGGGGATAGCAAAGGGGGGGTTTGAGAATCAGCTCACGTAGCTGATTTTCCCGGCGCCTCCCGGCGCCAGAGGCGGCCATGTATCGAGGAATGGGCCCCACGGTGAGGCCGAAACCGGCTGCATGCAGCAAATGTCGTAACCCCCCCTTTTCCCAATCCCCCCTTTTCGCCCGGCCCGACCTTCCACCCCCTGCAACTTCCAAACGAGGCAGCCTCGGCTAGGAGAGAAAAGAAACTGACCGACCACCTCGCGCGGGGGTATTTCGGGGAGCCTATACCCGCCTTCACAGCGGGCCCAGGGTGCGCCCCCCCCAAGAAACGCTTCTCGGCACTCGTGGGCGACTCTCCCCGCCACCACAGGCGAGGGGGCTGGGACAGCAAGGGAAAAGAAAAGGAAAACACAGTTCCGTGGCAAGATTCATGACGCAGGTGTTTCCACCGGCGCACAGTGTGTTGTGCGCAGAAGTGCTTTCAAACTATGCGGGGACACTGCAACCCAGAACCTGAGTTCGGAAGCGTCGCGGTCGAAGTTGCGCCGAGAACTGATCGAAGTAATGGCAAGATAACAAGCATTCGCTGGGCACTCCAGAGCCGAACAATTATATCAATAAATCTTGCATGTGTGATCAAAGCTGCTACGGCAACTGATCAACGTATGCATATACACACGTATGTTGCGATGCACTCTAAGCCAGAAACATTGAAGTAGATCCACGATCGTTCGAAGGATAACGTCACTGAAATGAGTCACTGGCATCATGCTTTGCATATGTCGTACGATATGTGTCCGACATCCCATGAAATAAATTGAGGTTCACGAAATATACATATTTGTGACGGGCGACCTGCCTGGGTGCGTTCATGGGCATGTTGTCGACCAATGTTACGTCTTGGTGGCGGGCGACCTGTCGGGGTACTTGTTATGCCCGTCGTGCCGAAAAGTGTGTGGTGATAGATTGTCTTCTGGCACTCGATACACATGATATACGAATGCCAAAAGATATGCGACGACATCATGTCATGTCAGGAGGAGGAGGAGGAAGAGGAAAAGGAGGAGGAGGAGGACAAGGAGGAGGAGGAGGAGGAGGAGGAGGGGAAGGAGGGAGGAGAGGAGGAGGATGAGGAAAGAAGGAGGAGGAGGAGGATGAGGAAGGAGGAGGGAGGAGGAGGAGGGGGAGGAGGAGGAGAGGAGGAGAGGAGGAGGAGGAGGAGGAGAGGAGGAGGAGAGACAGGAGGGAGCTGCCCCCGCTCTTTTTTACCTCCGCGTGCGCGGGCACCCAGCCCACTCTGGGCCTGCGGGGCTGGCCTCGGAGCCCTCTCGAGACGGAGGCGCGCGCCGCCTTCGCCTGCTCCAGGGAGGGGCCTGTTCTGGCTGCTCCGGGCCCCCTCCTCCTCCTCCTCCTCCTCCTCCTCCTCCTCCTCCTCTCTCTCCTCCTCCTGGCGCGCCTGTCACGACAGTCGGACCTGTGACAGCACAGCGTCCTTCAAGAGCAGGAGACCCTCCGTAAGCCAAACACACGCAACGTCCAAGGGTACCCTCCCCTGGGTGCAGAAGAACACCCAGCGAACACGAAGAACATCAGGGTACCCTCCCCGAACCAACCTCGACCTTCTACCTCGGTCCGGCCGCATCGAGAGGAGGCCCATCACCTCGAACTGGAGGCTGGCGCCCACCAGCTGGCCCGCCCTGAGCTGGCCCGCCCTGAGGAGGAGGAGGAGGAGGAGGAGGAGGAGGAGGAGGAGGAGAGATGGAGATGGAGTAGGAGGAGGAGGAGGAGCAGGAGGAGGAGGAGGAGGAGGGGAGGAGGAGGGGAGGAGGAGGGGGGAGGAGAGGAGGGGAAGGAGGAGGAGGAGAGGAGGAGGAGGAGGAGAAGGAGGTAGGAGGAGTGAAGGAGGAGGAGTGCGGGGAGAGGAGGAGGAGAGGAGGAGGAGGAGGGAGGAGGAGGAGGAGGCGGAGTAGGAGGAGGAGAGAGGAGGAGGAGGAGGAGGAGGAGGAAAGGAGGAGGAGGACAAGGCCCACGGCCTGGAACGGCCCAGGCAGGGGGCCGCAGGCAGCGCGCACAGGGCACGCCCTGGGCCGAGAGCTGGACGGTGGCCCGACCGCAGCGCCGCAGCTTCGGGGCACGCCGACGCCAGGCCCGAGACGTCCGTGAGGCAGAGGCTGCCCCGCGCGGCGCCGTCGCGCCAGTCGCCCCAGAAGAGGACGGCAACGTTCATCGCCACGCCCGGCACCTTCGGCGGCCTGCACGGGAGCCCGACGGCGAGCTCGAACTCGTAGGCGAGCCCAGCACCTGCAGGCTCTTGTCGTGCAGGCAGGCCCTTCTGTCGGCGAACCTCGATGGGAGCACGTTGCCCTCCTCGCCAGGCTCGGCAAGCTCCAGCAGGTCCTCGCAGCCGAAGAAGCGGTGCCCAGCCGTGTCGGAGGGATGCCCGCAGGACAGGCATGCGGGCGAGTCCGTCAGCTTGTAAACTTCGCCTGCTGCGCCCAGGGCGCTCTAGCCCACTGCACGCTCAAGCTGGAGGCCTGGGGATTTTAAGAGGCAGAAACATCGGGAGAAGGGAGGGAGAAGAGACGGGGAACATCGAGGAAAAAGGGCACATGACAGGAGGATAGCTAAGAAGCCTGACGACGGCCGCACGTAACGGGCCTGCTTTTTCGTGGCCCCCATTGTGTACACCGCTTCAGCGCAGGCAAGCACCACGGCAAATGGCCGACCTGGCCTACCTTGTCGCAACGCATCGCGCCAGCGATCCGTTCAAACCCAGCTTGCTCACGGTGGTTATGACTGCTCACAAGACAGAATACTCAACCAACATCTCGGATACACGCATGGCTTGGGCGTAGTTTCTTCCGAAATCGGGTGGGCATCACGGAAGGCAGCGAACGACTTCTCCCCTGGCAGAATGCAATCCAAGACACGATCACACAACAAAGATTTTGCCGATTGCTGGCAACAAACTGTTCGCAGGTCCGAAAGCTGCTTGTCGAGCATCAGCATATGCCTGCATAATGTCGGCATATGTGAAACCCAACTTCGTCTTCACAATATCTTCGACAGATGGCAGAGACACATTATTGAAGAAACTCGCGGGGTCATCTGTGTTCAAGCCGAAATTGAGCCCTTGCTCTTTAAACTGGCCGATTGCAGGCAGCAAGCCATGGTGTGTCGCACTCGCAGGGCATGCTTCGACATGTACATGTCGCTCCCTGAGCAGGGACACCACTGCTGGGTCTTTGCGAGCCTGGTAGCCATGGCCAATGCGATCTGCGAACATGTCTCGGACAGCTGTGCCAACCTCAGAGGCTGACGTATCGGGAAATTCACCACAGTGCACGGTGGTATTCAAGCCGAAGGACATCTTAGCTCGAAGAAGGCAGTCCACGTATGGGCCATTTGGGAACGAAGATTCGTCCCCAGCGAGATCAACACCAACCACACCTCCCATTAGCGTCGAGCGCATATGAGCGGCAAGTTCGACCAACTCCATACACTTCTGGGAACTCTGGCCGCGCATGGCACAAAGCAGCTGGTACACATGCACACCGTACTTCTCAGCTCCAAGCGCCAAGCCTTCTTGCACAGCTGTCACAGTCTCTTGTTCAGTCAATGTACTGTTGGTAAAAGAGCTCCGCGCGAGGCGCGCTGGATCATAGCGCACTTCGGTGTAAGCCACACCAGATCTCGCTTGAAGCCCAACAAAGGCCTCAGCCACAGCACGGATTGTTGCCGCATCACCGCCAATCATATCATTCACGAGGTCGAATCTGTGCCAGGCCGGCAGTATTCTGGCGAGGTAGGTCCCCAGTTCAGCTGCAGAGTCAGGAAAGCGTGAGGTGCCAGGCAGAACCAATTTGCGACTGCGACAGATCTGGTACAGCGTGTCTATATCAACAGACCCATCCAAGTGCACGTGAAGCTCCACCCGCGGAAGGCGAGCAGGCATCGTGGACTCGCTGCCAAGAACGCCGCGTGCAATCGAATCGCGTCGCAAGGCAACAGCAACGACCAGGACCATCCACCAGAAAACATAACCACGCGCATACACAGACCCCGTCGAAATATGCACTGGCATGTGTAATGTTGCACACGGCTGCTGTGGGTGTCGGGACTGCGACAGCTTCAACCTTGAGCCAACATGGCTGTCGCTGTGCGTCGCCTCACATCTCGAACAACGATCGAAAATCGCACCATCCCCCTGCGGGGGGGAGTCCGATCGATTCCGCTTCCAACACCTTCCTTCCCTTCGGGGAAGGTATTACGTTTTTAACCCACTCCCTTCCCCCTCCCCTGGGAGAACAGATGGCTCCAACTTGGCCCCAGACAACTAGAGGGTACGTTTAATATGGGATACGAATAATCCAAGACGGATCCCAACATGCCTCACTGAAACTCCAAGACTGCCCGAAGACAACTCCAAGTGCCCTAGGAGCCTCCCAGGTATACCTTCTAGAAGACAAAGTACTGCAAATGCCTCGAGTGTGTTTCACGCCATTTTTCCTTCCCGCCTGGTCTCTTCCAATGGGTCTCTGAGACCTCGAGACGGCTCCAAGAAACATTCGAGATGGGCCAACAAATACTGCAAGGCGGCCCCGAAGGCCACCAAGAGCGCCCCTAGATGACCCCCACAGCCACAGTATGGCCCCCAAGTGCCCTACCAATGCATAACGATCATCAAGGACCGAACACACACACCAACATAAGGCGGTACTTACAGTCAGCAAGGCCAGACATCACGCGTGACAACGTTCGGCAATTAACGCACTCAAGTGCGCATTGTGATTCAGCATATGCACTTTGGAAGACCTCGGTGCAATTCAAGAAGCCTGCAGAAGCATCTTCGTATGAGGCTGGAAAGACGCAACCGTATCGATCAGCTCGGCAACGTCAACCACCCTGAGACGGAAGGTCGACGCTGAAAGGGGGGATCGAGCTTTGCGGGAAATCTAGATGCGATCGACAGCGGAGCGGTGATTCCACCACCAGAGGAGCCCCGACACGCAAGCTGCCAAGTAACATGTTGCATGAGATGGCGTGGTGTCGGCCAGGCTCCGCGCGCACGTGCTTCGTACTGGATATGCCTGGAGGGCCTGGCCCACGAGAGAGAGAGAGAGAGAAAGAGAGAGAGAGAGAGAAACACAAACAATGTGATCGTCGCCCGTCACTATCCACCATGTCGCCAACACGGGCAAATTCAAGGCCTCAGAGTAACCGTTGGCCACGTCAACGCAGATCATCTTGAGGGCGGGAATGTCCTTGATGATGTTTCCCAGCTTGTCCATGTCCTCGAATTGAAGACTGATGCAAGGTATTGCAAAACGCACGATCTGCTCTGAAGCGAATTGTCAACCAAACGGCACCATCCCAATAAACACAATCAAAGCGCAAGTCACGCCGAGAACACGCTTCAATTCAAATCTGAGTCAAAACCAAAAGTCCCGACCGCGAAACAAAACAGATCGCATGCCGAGCGAGACGACCCCGAATCCCTTGACAACAAGACAACGCGCAAAACAGCACCACCGCCTTCTTTGTCAAGCATTCGTGTGTATCGAGCGAACTAATCACCAACGCCGAGACAGAAGAGCAGGGGAGCACTGGGCCGATGGTGCCCTCTTCCACCTGCGACTACTCCGCGCTCTCCGTCGCCCCCGCTCCCCCATCCCGTCCGTTCTCCATTCTCCATCCTTTCTTCCCCCCTTCCAATATTTCTCCATATATCCTTCCCCCCCCCGCGCCCCCCCCCGCCCTCCATTGCCGCGCACCTCCTTCCTCCTCCTTCTCTTCCTCGGTTTCCTCCTCTTCCTCCTCATCCTCCTTTTCTCAATCCTTTTCCATCGTCCTCCTCCTCCTTCTCCTCCTCCTCCTCCGCCTCCGCCTCCGCCTCGTCCGCCTCGAACGTTCTTGCCGGCGCGGGTTGACCGTGATTCGTGGGGGATGGCGATGGAGGCCTCGCCTGTCTGGCTTCTGGGCCACGGAACTCGCGGCACCAGTGGCTGCTATTTCGGCCCATGCCGTTTCCGGTGCCCCTGGCCCTCCCCCGGCAGGCGGGCGGGGGGGGGGTCCTCCTTCCACCGTGGCCGGGTGTTGCTGGAAGTCCCCCTAGCCCATGGTGCCTCAAGCTTTTCGCTTCACTGTGGGGCCCCTGGGGCCCTGTGGGCCTTGTGAGGGGAGGTGTCTGGGGGGGCCGCCTGGGCCACTCAGAAAATCCCGGGGGCACCTTGCTGCTGCTGCTGCTGCTGCTGCTGCTGCTAAAAAAGCATGCGAGCCGCAGCGCCCTTTGGCCTCTGGCCCGCGAACCGCAGCGCCCGACCCAAACCTAGGGGAGCACAAGCCTGCGAGTGTCGACCCTGGCAGCCTTGCGACCATGTTTTTACTCCTGGGGGAGGGGGAGGGTGAGGGGGGCAACGGTTACGGGGGGGAGGGCGAGGGGGGGGGCCGAGAGGGGGGCGAGGGGGGGGGGGGGCGAGGGGGGCAACGGTCACGGGGGCCGCAGCGCGCACCCCCCGAAGCGCGCCGCCTACGTCGTCGTCGTCGTCGTCGCCGCCGCCGCCGTCCAAGCCCACGGCGCCGGGTCACACAACACGGGCTTGTGCACACCATAGTGCCTTTCTGCACCAAGACTGCTATAAAAATGGTACGTGTGTGCGCTACGGCGACCGTATGCACCATGACAACCGTGTGCACCATAACGCCTCTGCACATCACACTGTTTGTGCACACCATGGTGCCCGCGTGCACCACAACTGCTGTTTCAGCCCCCCCTGTGCACCACAGTGTCTGCGTACATCACAAAGCTTGTGCACACCTGAAGGTACCGACGGAACCAAACTCTGGAAAATCGCAAGGGGCCCGACCGTATCAAATTCAATACATGAACCTGGTTGTGAATATTTTCTGGCCCAAGGAACGATCGGATAGGTTGGGTACACAACGCTTGTGTACGCCGTGACGACTGCGCACGCCATGGCAACCGTGAGCACCACAGCGCCCGTGAACACTACGCGGATTGGGGGCGCGCGGAGCGGCGTCAGCCGAGGGAGTACACGCAGGAAATGCAGGAGGAACAGCAGCACCAGCAGGAGGAACAGGAGGAACACAAAAAACGCCACGATGGGGTCAACAGCTCGGGGCCCGCGCTTTGTCTTTTCCCAGAGCACGGCGAAGATGTACGCCATCATCTAAAACAAACTCGTTGCAATAATCCCTGCGCGAGACCGCCAACGGATCTGCGTGATGCACACGCACAGCCTGCGCACACCAATCCTATTATTCTCCTCCTTCTCCTCAACCTCCTCCTCCTCCTCCTCCTCCTCTTCCTCCTCCTCCTCCTCGTGTACGCCTGTATGGCCCCAACAGAAGCAAAGTCCAGGAGATCGTTTGGGGCCCGGATGTGTCAGGTTCAATCTGTGACCTGATTGTGGTTATTGGGTTTTCTGGCCCGAAGAACGCTTGGAAAAATGGGGCCCACAGCGACTGTGAAACACAACGCCTGTGTGCACCACAAGGCTTGTGTCACCACAGTGCTTGTGCACTCCAAAATGCCCGCGTCCTGTGCGCGCAAGGAGGACGACGACGAAGAGGACGACAATGAAGAGGGAAGACAAGGAAGACATCTGAGTATATGCGTGGGTAAATTAACCCATAACTCACGCTTACATCACAAAGACCTTGCGCACTATAGCGATTGTGTACATCACGGCGCCTGTATACACCACAAGGCTTGTGATGTGTGCACCACAATGCTTGCGAACACGCACTATGCCTGTGTACACCACAGCTGCTGCTGCAACGACAGGTGTTTTTTTGGGGGGGCAAAGCCCCAGGAGGACGGCGGTGACCGACGCCCCCTGCGCGCGCCACGGGCGCGCGGAGGCCCGCGGCCGCCGACGGCGCATGGGCCGTCGCGGCGCGGGCGGCCGCCGATGGCGCGCGGTCCGCCGCGGAGCGAGGGGCGCTCTGGTGGCGCCGAAGGGCCACGCGGCTAGCTCGGCAGCGTGGCGGGGGCGGCAGCACTCGGGAGGCCTGGTGCCTCGCCAGCCGCCGCGCCGTCCGCTAGGCGCGCCGAGCTGGCGGGGTGCTGGCCACGGCGAGTGCGGTCAGCCCGAAGACGTCGGACGCGCCCCGCCTCACCCACGCGCGGGGCGCACTGGGTCGCCGGGGCCTTGAAGCTGCCGAGGCGCTCCCTGGGATAGGCGTGGCACCGCGCGCACGAAACTTAGCCGAAAGCGAGCTGCACTACGTGGCCGAAGGCGTCGCGCGCCCGCGCGAACCGTCCTCGGCGTTGGGCTCGCCCCCAGCAGGCGCCGCTGGGCCCGCCGGCGGCTGCCGCTGCTGGTGGCCGTGCCGTGGGGATCGGGACCTCGCGGCATCCTCCGAAGCCCGCTCGCTGGAGGGTCTGGCCCCGACCTGGCCGCTGGCCGCAGCGGCGCCCTGGGCCGCGGTGGCCCCCGCAGGGGCGGGCGGCAAGCCCCCCGAACTCGGCGCTGGGCCCTGGCCGCGGGCCGAACCGAGCGCGCCTGCGGTCGCGTGCGCCTGCCCCACCGCACTCGGCGTGGGGTCCTGGCCCCGAACTGGCCCGAGCACTCCTGGTTGGCTGTCGGCGCCGTCGGCGGCTGCAACAGCTGCCACGGCCGCCGCCGCTAGGGCCACGCCTGCTGCTACGCTGGACGGCGCCGCCCTCCTGGCCACCGATGCGATCTTGGGGATGCACGGGGGCCGATACAACACCTGCTTCGACCTCGCGGTGCGCGCCGCGCGCAGGCATGCCATGCAGCGCCGGTGGCCCGAGGCGAGCGTGACGAACGAGTGCTCAATGAGGAGGAGGAAGCGGTCCTTGTTGGCCTCGTCGCGGGCCACGTCGCCGCGGGTGCTGTCGAGCCTGTCGGCAGCCGCGGGAGCACCAGCCAGCCGTGGCCACCCAGTGCGCGACGCCATCGACGAAGAGTTTGGCGCGCAACTGCCGCTGCCTCTCGGCCAAGGGGGCGCGCAGGTGATAGGCGACCCCGAGTGCGACGCGGTCGGCCTCGTAGTTGCTGCGGCGTTGCTTCCTCGTGATGACGCCGCGGGTGACGTGGGCGAGGGTGGCGTGGCCCTTAATCTCCGCGATTGTGAGTCCCGCAGGGCCGACGCCGCCGAAGTCGTGGAGCGACTGCCACACCTGCCGCCAGAGATGCCCCCACGCTGAAGACGCCAGCGTCGCGCGGGCCTCGCCCCGAAGCTTGATGCCGTCGACGACGAAGCTGGCGTCGCAGTGCAGCTCGATGGGGGTGATGGCGTGCCGCGGGACGATGAGCACCGCCAGCAACCCCGCGCCCTCGATGCTCTGCCAGGGCCCGACTAGAGGCGCGCCCAACGCCTTGGTGCGGCTGCCAGCGCCTGGGTCGACTTCCTCGGCGCTTGGAGGAAGCTCGGCGACCGCTGCCGCGGCCTGCGCACCACGGCCTTCGGCAAGCCGCGCGTCACACAGCGAGCCGTCGCAGTGTAGTGGCTGGCCGACGAACGGCTCGCCTGGCTCGCCGCAGCACCAGCGGAGGTGGTCGAAGAAGCCGCCGCCAGGAGGCCTCCACTGTGGCTGCGGGGCTGGAAAGAGGACGCGCTCGACAAGGTACTTGACGACCGCGTTGTCCCTCTGCGGCAGCAGCGAGGCGATCTCGACCCGGTTGGGGCAGAGCTCGCAGAGGTCCGAGGAGGCGTACCTCGGGTTGTTGCCGTATTTCCAAGCGTTGGCCCTCTGGCCGTCGACGATGCAGGACCTGAGGTAGCCGCGCTGCTCGCTGCTGAGGCTGGGCCAGCTCCGTACTTCTTGGGAGGTACCACGACCGCTGGCCGTCCACCGCCAAAGCTGATGCAGACGTCGAGCCAGGAAGAGTCGTGCTTGCTGAGCTGCTTGGCCTGCCAGTGCTCGCAGCTGCGTGTGCACCGCAATGCCTGTGTACACCACAGTGCACGCCCGCGTGCACCGCGGCACTATATAGTAGTGCCCGCGTGCACCACAGGCCCTAAGCTGTGCCTGGGATCGCGCAGTGGACCAGGCCGGGGCGTTATCGCTAATGGGGGGAAACGGTTAAACAACAAAAAAAAATCTGGGGCGGACGATTAAAACAAACGTTTCGCGGGCCTCCTCGCCCCCGCAATGGCGGGGGGGCAGGGCAGGCAGACGGGGGGCTGACAATTCCGGGTTGCCTGGAAGGCCAGGGGGGGGGGGGGGCACGGGTGGAGAATCCATGGCGCGGGGGGCCATGGGGTGGACGGGGGTTTTTTTTCACGGCGAGCTTCCTCTCCTCA